CGAAATGTTAATACATGTATATGATGTGAACTAATATGTATGATATCTTGTCCTAATGAAAACAATGAATGTAGTCACAAAATAATTTAATAATATTCAGTAAAATAATGATAAGAGCATGTGAATGGGAAATGCTTTAAATTTTTGTTTGGTATGGCTTTAGACTCTTTTTACTTCACTTCCATTTAAAAATCCATTTGGGGGTGAATGGTATCATAGGTAAGTTTTCTCTTCACATCTATTAAAATTTGTACACTATTAGGTGAAAAACAAGAATGTTAGACATTAGAATTACACTCAATCACCTCTTTTAAACAAATCTGCCAAGAATAAAATCTCTCTTGTCGACAAGACCATGTTAGACTTCAGTCAACTGGGTCTGAACTCTATGTTCAATTAAGTTCCCCAGGAAAGAGATTTGAATTCATACTATGGTAAGTTCTGTGCCTCACTTGAGCAATCCATCTGCTACAGTATTCATTTACTGGCTGAGTTTCACTCAATATGGCAGCAGATGTGTTAGTCCTTGGGGGGTCTTATAACAATGGTTACATGGTCAAGGGGAGACTACCTTGACAATTGGACTAATTCTCCTAATTGGCAACCATTCAAGGTTGCATCAGAAAGGCATTTTGGACTTGCATACCATGATCACTATGGATGTGAACTTATAGAGCTGGGTCTTCGGACTGACATAGGAGCATGGACCTTTCTGGATTATTCTTTATATCATCATGATTCATACCATTTTTTGAAAGCCGATCATTATTTGCTGGCTAACCAACATGGGAATAACATTCTTATTCTGCCCAAAAACGAGACTATGATGACTGATCTCAAATAACAAAGTACCATTGCCTTATGATTTTGGATTTTGTTGACAACAATCCAGGTTTCAGTTCGACATATCTTAGGCTGATTAATGTATTGACAAACATTTATCTGCAAGCAGGAACTCAAACAAACAAAATGACTTTTTCATCCCTCAGTTTTATTTGATGCATACACAATGGGATAAACTTTTGATGTAAAGTAGTCACAAGATGGAATGCCAACAATCCCAACCTTTGTCACACTTATCTTGAGCCCAAAGACCTGGCTAATTATTGCTTCCTTTGTATATAGAAGTGGTTTCTTTTTTTAAAAAAAATTCACAAAGTTTATCCTGACATAATTTGATGGATCTCTCTCTCAAAGAAAACAAATATGATATATATTTGAAAGTTTTTATTTATTATGAAATAACTGACAATTATTTTATTCTTCTGTCAGCAGTTTGATGGTGAAATAGAAAAAGTACCATTCTTTCTATAGCTTAATGCCAGAAGTTATTGTTACAAAGTTACAAAGACTATTACCATATGAAGTCATTCTGTAAATAACTTTGCAACTGGCATTTGCTATGTATTTTGCAGGATTTTTACTAAATGGATTTCTTTATCCAGTCTTCCCTTTGCTGACAAAACGAATGCATAGCTAAATCGTTATACAATCATTTAAAGAATTTCTTTTATGCAAAGCTCTCAGTTGTTTCTCAAACACGACTAATATTTTAAAAAGATTTATTATTGGATGCAGAAAAAAAGTAACATCTTATATTTAGCCTGGGTATGAAATAATTCAAGTTTTTCTAAATATATTATAAATGTTCATAGTTAATTTAACATAGAGAAATGTTGGAATAATATATTTTATTTATATATAACAGCTTAGTAATTCAAGTTTTTAATATGACTGAGTTTCAGCTGAATTGAATCCGAGTTAAAAATACATTTTTAAGCAGTCATATTGTAATGTCATTTATTGTCATGCATTAGGGCATTGAGTTTTAAATACATTGGTATTGAGTTGTATCTTAGTGTCATTTATTGTCATGCATTAGGGCATTGAGTTTTAAATACATTGGTATTGAGTTGTATCTTAGTGTCATTTATTGTCATGCATTAGGGCACTGAGTTTTAAATACTTTGGTATGCAATTTTGTCTTAAGGTTGGAATTTTGTATAATCAGTGTAAAGTAAATATGGGTTATCTTCATTAGTACAGAACTGGACAGACTTAGAGAAATGTCAACTTTTACAAATATACAATATTTTCTAATTATCTTTTCTTAAATTAGGTGGAGAAAGAGAAGTATGAAAAGGGTGTGACTTGGCTAAAGGATCTGTTGTATAACATTAAGTTCACAGCTGAGAGACTCAGGATTGTAGCCAAGAGAATGTCCAATGACATTGCTGAGAACAAGAATAAGGGATATGCAGTTATCAGAACTCTGCTCAAGTCCATCATTTTCTCCAGTGGTTAGTTTAAAATTGTCTTATTCATTTTGAGTGTAAAACTAACCTTCAATAATGATTTCATCAGCCATGCCCACATTGTCAACATAAAGTTGATCATCAGATTACATTCACCATAACAGAATTGTCAGCAACTAGTTAAGAAACACTGACTGGTCTACAACATTGACTGGTCTACAACACTGACTGGTTTACAATGCTGACTGGTTTACAATGCTGATTGGTCTACAACACAGACTGGTCTACAGTGATGACTGACTACCTCCAAAGAGGGCAGTAATGTTAGTTTCATTTAGAGAAACTGACACACAAACAGTACTAAGATATCACAGTCACTAATTTCTTACAGTAAGTAAAGGGAAAGTTAATGATAACACCAATTTCCTTGTCCCAATCATGGAGTGGGTGTTATCAGTAGTTTTCCTTTTTGCCAAAAGAAATGGGTTCCTAACATCGGTTAAGACAATAATAGCACAGTTTATGTGAACTGAGGGCATGCATTGATAAAATCCCAGTAGTCTGTGGATATAATTAAATAGCATATTGAAATTTAACTCATAAAGCATTAATGTCATAATATCTGTCTGTTTAACTCACATGAGTAAGGACTGACTGAAGTCAACACATTCTATTTGACTCACATGAAATAGAACTGACTGAAGACCCAACATTCTATTTGACTCACATGAATTACAACTGACTGAAGTCTACACATTTTATTTGACTCACATGAGTAAGGACTGGCTGAGGTCCACACATTCTGTTTGACTCACATGAATTACATCTGGCTGAAGTCCACACATTCTGTTTGACTCACATGAATTACATCTGGCTGAAGTCCACACATTCTGTTTGACTCACATGAATTACAACTGGCTGAAGTCCACACATTTTGTTTGACTCACATGAATTACAACTGGCTGAAGTCCACACATTTTGTTTGACTCACATGAATTACATCTGGCTGAAGTCCACACATTCTGTTTGACTCACATGAATTACATCTGGCTGAAGTGCACACATTCTGTTTGACTCACATGAATTACATCTGACAGAAGTCCACACATTGTTTGACTCACATGAATTACAACTGGCTGAAGTCCACACATTCTGTTTGACTCACATGAATTACATCTGGCTGAAGTCCACACATTCTGTTTGACTCACATGAATTACAACTGGCTGAAGTCCACACATTTTGTTTGACTCACATGAATTACAACTGGCTGAAGTCCACATATTCTGTTTGACTAGCATGTATTAATCTTTTCAAAAATTTTAAGTTACATTTGTTAACAGCTAATGTATCTTTATAGAATTTTAAGATTTTATAATTACTTTCAAATTGGTATATTTGACTTTTTCCAAATATGTAAGTTATTGAAAAGGACGGTGGAAAAACGATGAACATAACTATGTTAGCAATCACCAAAGGCTGTTAATGTCCATAAAGACAATAATTTCATCACAGATTGGAGGTATGATGTATGTTCAAGATCCATTTAGTTTATTGGGTTAAAAGTCAATTTTTAGCACATGATAAGATCTACTTGGCAGTATGTTTGGTGGAGTAATAACCACCAATGCAGGGAAGCTACTGGTAAGCTTTCTCACATATGCAGATGTCATTGATAAGTAAAGATGCCCTATAGACCATACAGCCACCAAGGACCCATATTTTCAAGATAGATTTGTCATTGATGTGCCTATATTAAAGGTTATAAGTCAAGTAAAAAAAGCTGACAGCTTCACTACTCAGGCAACCACCACCTCAATAGAAATAATCTATCACTGAAGATTTGTGAAACCACCACCTCAATAGAAATAATTTTTGTTACGTATTGGCTCGTTCAAAGTAACATAAAAGAAAGAGTGAAGACAACAAGCTTTGTAAATTTTAACAAAAATAATTTATTTTACTAGAAAACATGAAAGAATGTAAATATGTTAAACAAGACTTATGGTTTACAGAAATGATCCAACTTGTTTGTTCAAAATAGAAACATAAGTCTTGTAAAAAGTTCTAAACACAGTCTGAAGTTCCATTCTGGTCCAAAATGGCAGATGACCAAGTCAGACGAAGGCTAACAGAAAATTCCAGAATTTACACAATAAAGCACGGTTCAATAAAACAAAGATCCTTTCTTCAAAGGAAGTCTGATGGATTGTTTCATTTTCCAGCATGACTGGAACATTTGTACTGTGCTGCGAAAGTTTCCTTTTTACAGGAAAAATGTTTATGGTTACAAACTCTACCAATAGCACTTAAAATGCACTTTTACCAACTTCAGACATAATAAAAAGTAAATGTGCTTTATCATTCGTTATGTGATTGTGTTATTTTTGTCCACTAAATTCAGACCTATATGACCTGTGACAAAATTATTGAATATTTTAAATCTGTGTGTGTACATATTTTCAATGGAATTACTTGTATTGTGGCTTCAATGTATGTGATGTGATTCATGGGTGAGTACATGGTGTTGATACTTTATTCATGTGATGTGATTATGATTTTAACGTAGCTTTAACAATTTTTCAGTCATATCACTATGATGTCTGCAATGTGGCAGTTTAGAGTGATGTCTAGCACCGGGGCATCATGCCGAAGACATGTAGCATGATGTCCCACCCAGTCAAATTATTCTGAGACCAAGCTGACCAGCCCTAACACTAACTTCTTAATGCTGAGTGTCTTTGGTATGACTCGATCGAGGATCGAACCCATGATCTCCCGCATCGGAGACAGATGCTCTAACCACTAGGCCACCGGAGCGGTTTTCATTGCTATGCATTATTCATGTATATAAAAAAAACAGTATACATGTATATGTACCAATGCATGATTCTCTGATTAAAGTAAAATATTATATATGCCTTCTCTATTTTCACTACAGGTGTATTTCTATGCAATATGCATTGATTTCAGATGATAACTGTGCCAATGAAGCATGTATTTTTGAGCCTATATTTATAACCAACACCCACCCCAGCTTTTTTCAGGTACATGCATCATTGTATTCTGCTTATAACACGGTTCAGTCTATAATACAACCGAGTTCTAAGGCTGGTTTGCTTATAACACGGTTCAGTCTATAATACAACCGAGTTCTAAGGCTGGTTTGCTTATAACACGGTTCAGTCTATAATACAACCGAGTTCTAAGGCTGGTTTGCTTATAACACGGTTCAGTCTATAATACAACCGAGTTCTAAGGCTGGTTTGCTTATAACACGGTTCAGTCTATAATACAACCGAGTTCTAAGGCTGGTTTGCTTATAACACGGTTCAGTCTATAATACAACCGAGTTCTAAGGCTGGTTTGCTTATAACACGGTTCAGTCTATAATACAACCGAGTTCTAAGGCTGGTTTGCTTATAACACGGTTCAGTCTATAATACAACCGAGTTCTAAGGCTGGTTTGCTTATAACACGGTTCAGTCTATAATACAACCGAGTTCTAAGGCTGGTTTGCTTATAACACGGTTCAGTCTATAATACAACCGAGTTCTAAGGCTGGTTTGCTTATAACACGGTTCAGTCTATAATACAACCGAGTTCTAAGGCTGGTTTGCTTATAACACGGTTCAGTCTATAATACAACCGAGTTCTAAGGCTGGTTTGCTTATAACACGGTTCAGTCTATAATACAACCGAGTTCTAAGGCTGGTTTGCTTATAACACGGTTCAGTCTATAATACAACCGAGTTCTAAGGCTGGTTTGCTTATAACACGGTTCAGTCTATAATACAACCGAGTTCTAAGGCTGGTTTGCTTTTAACACGGTTCAGTCTATAATACAACCGAGTTCTAAGGCTGGTTTGCTTATAACACGGTTCAGTCTATAATACAACCGAGTTCTAAGGCTGGTTTGCTTATAACACGGTTCAGTCTATAATACAACCGAGTTCTAAGGCTGGTTTGCTTATAACACGGTTCTGTCTATAATACAACCGAGTTCTAAGGCTGGTTTGCTTATAACACGGTTCAGTCTATAATACAACCGAGTTCTAAGGCTGGTTTGCTTATAACACGGTTCAGTCTATAATACAACCGAGTTCTAAGGCTGGTTTGCTTATAACACGGTTCAGTCTATAATACAACCGAGTTCTAAGGCTGGTTTGCTTATAACACGGTTCAGTCTATAATACAACCGAGTTCTAAGGCTGGTTTGCTTATAACACGGTTCAGTCTATAATACAACCGAGTTCTAAGGCTGGTTTGCTTATAACACGGTTCAGTCTATAATACAACCGAGTTCTAAGGCTGGTTTGCTTATAACACGGTTCAGTCTATAATACAACCGAGTTCTAAGGCTGGTTTGCTTATAACACGGTTCAGTCTATAATACAACCGAGTTCTAAGGCTGGTTTGCTTATAACACGGTTCAGTCTATAATACAACCGAGTTCTAAGGCTGGTTTGCTTATAACACGGTTCAGTCTATAATACAACCGAGTTCTAAGGCTGGTTTGCTTATAACATGGTTCAGTCTATAATACAACCGAGTTCTAAGGCTGGTTTGCTTATAACACGGTTCAGTCTATAATACAACCGAGTTCTAAGGCTGGTTTGCTTATAACACGGTTCAGTCTATAATACAACCGAGTTCTAAGGCTGGTTTGCTTATAACACGGTTCAGTCTATAATACAACCGAGTTCTAAGGCTGGTTTGCTTATAACACGGTTCAGTCTATAATACAACCGAGTTCTAAGGCTGGTTTGCTTATAACACGGTTCAGTCTATAATACAACCGAGTTCTAAGGCTGGTTTGCTTATAACATGGTTCAGTCTATAATACAACCGAGTTCTAAGGCTGGTTTGCTTATAACACGGTTCAGTCTATAATACAACCGAGTTCTAAGGCTGGTTTGCTTATAACACGGTTCAGTCTATAATACAACCGAGTTCTAAGGCTGGTTTGCTTATAACACGGTTCAGTCTATAATACAACCGAGTTCTAAGGCTGGTTTGCTTATAACACGGTTCAGTCTATAATACAACCGAGTTCTAAGGCTGGTTTGCTTATAACACGGTTCAGTCTATAATACAACCGAGTTCTAAGGCTGGTTTGCTTATAACACGGTTCAGTCTATAATACAACCGAGTTCTAAGGCTGGTTTGCTTATAACACGGTTCAGTCTATAATACAACCGAGTTCTAAGGCTGGTTTGCTTATAACACGGTTCAGTCTATAATACAACCGAGTTCTAAGGCTGGTTTGCTTATAACACGGTTCAGTCTATAATACAACCGAGTTCTAAGGCTGGTTTGCTTATAACACGGTTCAGTCTATAATACAACCGAGTTCTAAGGCTGGTTTGCTTATAACACGGTTCAGTCTATAATACAACCGAGTTCTAAGGCTGGTTTGCTTATAACACGGTTCAGTCTATAATACAACCGAGTTCTAAGGCTGGTTTGCTTATAACACGGTTCAGTCTATAATACAACCGAGTTCTAAGGCTGGTTTGCTTATAACACGGTTCAGTCTATAATACAACCGAGTTCTAAGGCTGGTTTGCTTATAACACGGTTCAGTCTATAATACAACCGAGTTCTAAGGCTGGTTTGCTTATAACACGGTTCAGTCTATAATACAACCGAGTTCTAAGGCTGGTTTGCTTATAACACGGTTCAGTCTATAATACAACCGAGTTCTAAGGCTCCCATCTACCGTGTTATAGCAGGGTCACGCTGTACTTATTCATTTCCAGATTTGTACTTGTGTAGGTCCAGACTTGTACTTATATAAGTCCTTACTTGTACTTGTGTAGGTCCAGACTTGTACTTGTGCAAATCCAGACTTGTACTTGTGCAGATCCAGACTTGTAATTCTGCAGATCCAGACTTATATTTATGTCGGTCCAGACTAATAATTGTGTAGATCCAGAAAAGTACTTATTTAGATCCAGACTTGTACTTATGTAGATCCAGACTAGTACTTGTATAGATCCAGACTAATACTTTTGTAAATCCAGACTTGTACTTGTGTAGATCCAGACTAGTACTTGTGTAGGTCCAGACTTATATTTATGTCGGTCCAGACTAGTAATTGTGTAGATCCAGAAAAGTACTTGTGTAGATCCAGACTTGTACTTATGTAGATCCAGACTAGTACATGTGTAGATCCAGACTTGTACTTGTGTTGGTCCAGACTAGTGCTTGTGTAAATCCAGACTTGTATTTGTGTAGATCCAGACTAGTACTTGTGTTGGTCCAGACTAGTACTTGTGTAGGTCCAGACATTAGACATGTGCTTGTTTAGGTCCAGTCTTATATTTGTATAGGTCCATACTTGTACTTATGCAGGTTCAGACTTGTGCTTGTGTAGACTGAGATGTGTACTTATGTAGGTCTTACTGCTTGTACTTAATATATTTCCAGACTTGTACTTATCTATGCCCAGGCTTATACTTGTGAAGGTCCAGACTTATATTTGTGTTGGTCCAGACTTGTACTTATGTAGGTCAAGACTTGTATTTGTATAGGTATAGACTTGTATATGTGTAGATCTAGATTTATATGTATGTATGTCAAGGCCCCATCTCACCTCTGTGCATGTTGGTAGAAATCTCATATACAACCAAGGTAGTTAGGTGAATAAGTTGCCAGTAGCTTCCCATGGGTCAGTGGTACTTACTGAAATTTTACTGGGTTCTTCCTTAACCATTTATACAGGCCATCATATACACATGTATAGCCCATCATGTACTTAAAGGTTTTGTGAATCACAAAACAAATTATGAAGGTCCAGACTTGTAACTGCTGACATCATCATGAAGGGTTTTTGTATTATTCTTTTTTTCCCGTTATTATTATCTAGAGACAAATGCAGACAGTGATGGCTATTTTTTATATTTTGTGTACATCAATAATGTTTTAATCTGCAGTAATTTGTTATGTGCTTCTAATATTTAGTCATTTTTATTATTTTATCTTTCATCTAATTCTCCAACTGAAAACGAATATATGCATGAACTTTAACATCTGTCCCCTGTCATTTTTACATCATACTTTACTCTGTAAATGTAAACATGTGAAACAGATTATTTGTCAAGGTGTTCAGCAGTAAAATATCTTGTATAATTCCAGATTGTAACCATGCTATCAGTTCAATGTTGAAACAAGAGACATTTTTAGAGCAAATTTTGCAGCAATTGGACAAAGAACCAGAGGTGGTAAGTCTGAACAGAAGCAATTTTAACATTCCTCTGTATAAGACACCTGGTTTTAATACCATTCCTGATTGCATGTTGATGGATTCCTTTTTTACTAGGTGAATTTATTTTTTAAAACTGCCACTAACCTACTTGCCAACCTTTGAGACCATGCTGGGGGATTCCTGGAATTCCAAAATTGTTTTGGGGTATCAGGGTAGAGGTCAATTCATGCAACCCCAAATTTAGCATGATGCAATCAAAGACAGGTATCTACTAGTATAGAACTATAGAAAATGATGCACAACTCAAATTAAAATAAAATAATGTACAATATATGTTTATAGTTTTCTTTGAACTTTACAGGATTTATATACTTTCAAACAGATAATTGTTAGTAAATTTAGGGACTGACCCATTTTTGAAGGTGGGGGAGTGGTAAGTTAAATTTAGAAGAAAATACCTGGTTTCCATCATAAAACCTGTTGGACAGTAGAATAGTCTTAACTAGATGTAGTCTTTGCTGCTGTCATTAGCTTCAGAATACAAGTTATTTGTATTGATGCTGAGTGGTGTTACTTTATTGATACTGGGTTGTGCTTCATAAAGTCAGAC